TGTTGTCGGATCCGGAAGTAAGCACCCGGCTCCCGCACGCTGCTTCTTGTTGTGGTAGAAGAAGCATCATGGCGGCCCCTCTGGAGGTGATCGTGAGCAGCGACTCTGGCTCTCAGATGTGGAACAGCACCGTGTTCGACCTGCTCAGCGGCTCCAGCCTGCTGTCCTACCGGGGAGGGAGCTCCTCTGCCCGGGGGCTCACTCTGCTCAGCGGAGGGTACCTGCTCTGCGCTCAGCTGGGGAAGAACTTCATCAACGTGTGGGAGATCCAGAGGAAGGTACATCATTTCATATATAATATATATATTAAACATAATGTACACAAGGTATATACAGGTAGTTATGCAGAGTCACATACATACTATGTAAAGAAATAAAGAGAGAAATATAGAGAAAATGGGGAGAAATAATCAGATCCAGAGGAAGGTAGATCATTTTATATCAAACACTGTACACACAGGAAACCAATACAATATAAAGAAAAACAATCCAAATCAGATCCAGAGGAAGGTACCTGGGTTTATTTATAATATAGTAAGTAGAAGTACTCAGATCTAGTACTTGTGTAAAAGTAGAAGTACTCAGATCTTCTATAGTACAAGTAGAAGTACTCAGATATTGTATAGTAAAAGTAGATGTACTCAGATATTGTATAGTAAAAGTAGATGTACTCAGATATTGTATAGTAAAAGTAGATGTACTCAGATATTGTACTTGAGTAAAAGTAGAAGTACTCAGATATTTTAAAGTAAAAGTACAAGTACTCAGATCTTGTTCTTGAGTTGAAGTACGAATACTCTTTTACAAGTAAAAATAGAAGTATTATCATCAAAATATAGGTGAAGTACCAAAAGTAAAAGTAGTCGTTGTGCAAATTGCTTTCTCCAAGTTTCCTTTGAATATTATGAAATGTCTGCCCTTAACTCCCACTCATCCTGCCATTTTTTTTCATTTGGGATTTGATGATTCTTCTGATCTCAGCTTTATTTCACACTCCTACTCATCTGTCTCTTCCTCGCTGTCGCCCTCACCTGTGTGTTTTGGTTCATATGCACCTGTTGAACATGTATTCAAGTACACCACAGTGAACATGTGTATTCAAGTACCTCACAGTGAACATGTGTATTCAAGTACCTCACAGTGAACATGTGTATTAAAGTACCTCACAGTGAACATGTGTATTAAAGTACCTCACAGTGAACATGTGTATTAAAGTACCTCACAGTGAACATGTGTATTAAAGTACCTCACAGTGAACATGTGTATTAAAGTACCTCACAGTGAACATGTGTATTAAAGTACCTCACAGTGAACATGTGTATTAAAGTACCTCACAGTGAACATGTGTATTAAAGTACCTCACAGTGAACATGTGTATTAAAGTACCTCACAGTGAACATGTGTATTAAAGTACCTCACAGTGAACATGTGTGTCCCTGTGTGTGTTTCAGGACCAGCTGCAGCAGAAGATCGTGTGTCCAGGTGTGATCACCTGTCTGACCGCCTCACCTGACGGACTCTTCCTCGCTGCTGGGGTGGCTGAGGGCATTTACCTGTGGGAGGTGAGACCTTCTTCTTCTGTGGTTCAAATATGTTCCCTTTCTTGTTTGTTGATACCTTTTTTATCTGCAGAGAGAGAGAAAACCGGCGCTGTTGTTATTGGAATCTGGTGCTAGCTGCGCTAACAGATATAAGAACCTAACCTCCTCTAGGGGGGTCCGGGGGCATGCTCCTCCAGGAAGATTTTTTTTAAATATTGAAGTTAAAAGCATCAATCTGGTGCACTTTGAGAGCAACATTAGAGATCTATGGAAACATCTCTCAACACCAGATGAAACAGAACTGGAAGCAGATTTTCTTTTTCTTTATGGATTTTTTACAAATCACTCTCCTTTCAAACTGGATTCTTGTTTATTAATAACAACTTTTTTTAACTGTCATATAGTATTTTATACCCGTTTACTTTATTCTCTTATTGTTTTATAACTATAATGATCATATAAAGATGTGCCTTTACCTCACTGGTTGGAGAAAAAGCTTCTTATATTCGTTAGCATAGCTAGCTAACCAGATGCTAATAACAACAAAGTTATTGACTGTATGATCAGTATGACAGATGAACAGATCGCCACTGGGCTTTCAGCTAAAGACACAGCCACGCAGAAACTGCAGCATGTGTACGGCTCCTTATGGGTGCTGACATTTGTGAAGTCCCGGCCCGGAGCGGCGTTCTGGTGCTCTGCTCTCCCGCAGCTCTGCTCTAAACCTTCTTATTATACATCCATGCTCTGAACCCCTGTCGGACGAGACATATACCACGTGATGACACGTTAGGCTCGTGTTGTGTTCAAGGACCCTGACCGTGGCCAGGAAAAACAGGCACTCGCTTGTTTAATAATTTTGCGGAATAGATTTCTTAATTTTTTTCTTTTTTGCGTTTGTTACCTCGAGGGCCGTATCAAATTGTGTCGCGGGCCGTATACGGCCCGGGGGCCGGAGGTTCCCCACCCCTGGTTTAGATAGTTCACTTTAGTCTAAGTTATCTCAGTGGGTCTCAAACGTTTTGACCACAAATTATGTAAACACATATTTCCAAGGCACTCCTTTATAATTATTAGCATAAATAAAAACAGGTTTGAAATCATTCCAATTATACGACAGTAATCCAAAAATATCGTTTAAAGTTGGAGAGATACAAAAATATGCATAAATAAAAGTTAACTAGGTAAAATAAGATATGAATGAACAACAAAAATAAAATAAGCTACATTTATTTGTTATTGGCTATGGTTGGCTTATCGGTTATGTTCACATACTTATTTGATTATTAAAATGTAAACCGACCTTTTTCATATGGGTGTTTAGAGTTGTACCCCTAGATCAGGTCTCATGTTCATACAATACTGAATACATTTGAAGCCATTTTGACGTATATTACCCATGTCAATAAGTTTCTGTTTTTGTAGTGTATTTGCCTTTTGTAGAGATTTTATTCTTTACATATAAAATCTCGCCTAGGGCAGCAAATTGTCTAGAGCCGGCCCTGGTAAAGGCCTCAAGAGCCTTTATTGTGCTGGCAGACACATAGAAACAAATTGGCGGGGCGCACTCAAAAATGTCCACGCGCTCCGCGCTCACATTATACTGGGCCCACGTGCCTTAGCACCGCTGCTATGACTCCATCCTAGTGGCAGCACTGCACTCAGTCTGCTTTATATCAATATATGGATCATCTCTGCTTTTCATTGAACCAGAAGAACATATCAGTGATTTTGAGATCTTTGAATGCATGTAACCGATTTAAAATAGACGTAGACGTAAGAGGATGTAGATTATTTCTCTGTTACAGTTGTTAATGCTGGCGCGATGCAGAATGCTTTTAAAGCTGTTGTTTTGTAGGTCATTATTAAGTTGTGTTTTGATAAACCTCGCTGCTATAGTTACACCTGGAGGTCATAATAACATTTCACAAAACATCACCTTGGTTCAGGTGCAATAACGTCTGCTCTCTGATTGGTCCAGGTGTAATTACATCTCAGGTGTATTAATGTCTCTCCTCTGATTGGCTCAGGTGTAATAATGTCTGCTTTCTGATTGGCTCAGGTGTATTAATGTCTGTCCTCTAATTGACTGAGGTGTAATTCCATCTCTCCTCTGATTGGCTCAGGTGTAATAAAGTATATTCTCTGATTGGCTCAGGTGTAATAACCTCTGCTCTCTGATTGGCTCTGGTGTAGTAACATCTCTCCTGTGATTGGCTCAGGTGTAATAAAGTATATTCTCTGATTGGCTCAGGTGTAATAACCTCTGCTCTCTGATTGGCTCTGGTGTAGTAACATCTCTCCTGTGATTGGCTCAGGTGTAATTAGTCTCTCTTCTGATTGGCTCAGGTATAGTAACCTCTGCTCTCTGGCCGTTTCTCAATGTCGAGTATTCCTGCTGCAGAGCCACTATTTCAAGTATACTACGTCATCGAGTGGCGCCGAAGGACTGTTTAAATGCCCAGCATTCTGCGCCACTCGATGACTTGGTATACTTGAAATAGTGGCTCTGCAGCAGGAATACTCGACATTGAGAAACGGCCGCTGATTGGCTCAGGTATACTATCCTCTGCTCTCTGATTGGCTCAGGTGTAGTAACCTCTGCTCTCTGATTGACTCAGGTGTAATAAAGTATATTCTCTGATTGGTTCAGGTGTAGTAACCTCTGCTCTCTGATTGGCTCCGGTGTAACTATGTCTCTCCTCTGATTGGCTCAGTTGTAATAAAGTATATTCTCTGATTGGCTCAGGTGTACTAACCTCTGCTCTCTGATTGGCTCAGGTGTACTAACCTCTGCTCTCTGATTGGTTCAGGTGTACTAACCTCTGCTCTCTGATTGGCTCAGGTGTACTAACCTCTGCTCTCTGATTGGCTCAGGTGCGACTATGTCTCTCTTCTGATTGGCTCAGGTGTAATAACCTCTGCTCTCTGATTGGCTCAGGTGTACTAACCTCTGCTCTCTGATTGTCTCAGGTGCGACTATGTCTATCCTCTGATTGGCTCAGGTGTACTAACCTCTGCTCTCTGATTGGCTAAGGTGCGACTATGTCTCTCCTCTGATTGGCTCAGGTGTACTAACCTCTGCTCTCTGATTGGCTCAGATGTAGTAACCTCTGCTCTCTGATTGGCTCAGGTGTAATAACCTCTGCTCTCTGATTGGCTCAGGTGTAGTAACCTCTGCTCTCTGATTGGCTCAGGTGTAGTAACCTCTGCTCTCTGATTGGCTCAGGTGTCCACAGGTAAGCTGCTGTCGGTGCTGAACCGTCACTATCAGGACGTCACGTGTCTGAAGTTCACCGACGACAGCAGCCACTTCATTTCTGGAGGAAAGGACAACATGGCTCTGGTGTGGAGTCTGTGCAGGTAACTGGTTATCTATAATTAATAATAATATAAACATGGTATATTTTATGTTACATTTGTATATTTTGCATCGTTATAATGTAAATACCAGTCAATGTCTTTTGTTACATGTATATGAACTAGTGTACTTTAATTGTGTACTATAGAGACAGTTACAACAATTATGTTTATTGAAAAAAATGGAATCATAAATACACAAATTAATCTGCATGAGAAATAAATAAGATTTAAAAAAACCGTAATAATATTTTTACAGTGATAAATCTAGGCACTGTTGAAGCGTGTTGTACTTGTTTAAACAACAGTTTTTTTTGTCTTTTATTTGACCTTATTTTTACAGTTACATAAATTAAAAGTGTTAAAATATAAAGCAGCAGTGTCCTCCAGGGGGCGCTCTATGGACAGGTACCAATCTGCTACCATAGCAACACGTTAATTAATGAGATGGGCTCATTGTGGAGCTCTGTAATTGTTAAAGTGATTTGTGTGTGTTAATAACTGTGTGTGTGTGTCAGTGTGATCCAGCTGGATTTGAACGCCCCCCCCAGAGCCTCGTCACATCCTGTCCCGTCACTCTCTACCAATCACAGACCTGCACTGCGGCCTGATGGGAGCTCAGGCTCGCGTTGCCACCGCCTCCTTAGACCAGACCGTCAAGGTGAGGCTTTAACGAGACGTTTCTTAACGAGGTTGTTGTTGTTGTTGTTGTTTCAGCTGATCTTAAAGCTGAGTTTTCCAGCAGAGCTTCATTAATTGTGACGTTTTCCTATTGAGGTTTGACTCGTTGTGCAATAGTTGTATCTCATCCTCTGAGCTGAGTTTCCTGTCTGTTACAAACTGGAGACTTTTTTAAATGTGTGGTTTTCCATTTTGAGGTTTGGTGTGTTGTTCTTAGCTTTAGCTGACTAGAAGAAGAAGAAGAAGAAGAACCTTTTTTAATCCCCCTAACTCACACGTGTCAAACTCGAGGCCCGGGGGCCAAATCAGGCCCTTGGTGGATTTAATTTCGGCCCGCAGGATAATTTCTAATTCCTCTTAGATCTGGCCCGCCGGTATATTGCACGCACACCTTCACTCCATCCTGAGGGTCTCCTCAGCTCAGAGCCTGAGCCCAAACATTGATGACCTTGCACCCAAGAAGAGATGCCAAGTATCTGAGCTAGCATCACAGAGCAGCACACTGAGTTCAATGGATGCTTCCTTCTGCACTCTCTCTCAGGACAACAGGGCATGTTTGGTTTTCTCTCTGAGGGAATAGTTTTGTCTAAAATCTCTAAATGAGACGTTTTCTTAAAGAAGTTTTGTGCGTTGTTTCAGCCAATGATCAGCGGAGTTTCCTGTCTGAAACTACACAGCAGCAGAAACTATTTAAATGTGATTTTGTTTTAATGAGGTTTCAGCTGTCCATCATCTGAGTCTCCACTCTGTGAAACACCTCAGAGGTTCTTTAAATCTGGACGATTCTTTATGAAGTGTTTTTGTGAGAGGATAAGAGTATAGATGAAAAGACAGGAGTATAAACAGCTTAGCACAGTAATGCTGTTTTTCACATTCGTTTTAAGTGAAAGCTTCACAGCGTTGCCTCGCCTTCAGACTTCCTTTTCTTATCTTCAGACACACCACTCCTTCATAGGGCTGCTCAGTTAATCGTATTTTAATCGCGATTATGGCTTGCAACGATTACGAAAACAACGTAATCGAAATAAAACGATTATTTTTTTATTATTACTTTTTTGTTGTTGTTGGTTTTTCAGTTGAATTATTCTTAAAGTTCAGGATAATCAACAGTTAAAAACATACTGTTCCGGTCCGACACAGAGATGGAAGCATAGAGCAACACGCTCCCGACCCAAAATATCTAAAAACACTGTCCGAACAACGCAATCCAACTCTCTGAGAGCATTTAAATCAACGGGGAAATATCGGACTAACGAAAAATGTCCAGAAAGGGAAAGAAAATCAATACCCAAAGTAAAAAGCACGACGAGGAAGAAATCGATCAGCTGTCTCAAGCAAGCAACAGCATGGATGATGACAAGCAGCCAGATGACGCAGATCACAGCGGGGAGGCTAATATGAGTTTAATTCTAAAAGAGCTGCGAGACTTTAGAAAAGACTCCTGCCAACAACTCAATGGAATAAAGGAAGACATCAATAAAATTAACAAAAGAATGGAGGAAGCAGAGGAACGAATTGACGCAGCGGAGACCAGGATCCAGTCATGGGAAGAGGTGGTGACAGGCCTAGTGAAGCTACAGGTACAGACCGAGGCTAAACTGACGGACCTGGAGGGACGAACACGGCGCGAGAACATAAGGATCTACGGAGTAGAGGAAGGTGCAGAAGCCATGTCGACATCTGTGATCGCTTTTGTGGAAGAGCTACTAGTTAAAGGCCTGGAACTGACCCCCTCTACGCTATAGATCGAGAGGGCGCACCGTGCGCTCGGCCCCAAACCTCCGGCAGAGGCCTCACCGAGATCACTGGTGGTGAAATTCTCAAATTTTAAAATGAAAGAAGACGTAATCAAAAAAGCCTGGCAGAAAAAGGGTTTTTATTTCAAAGAAAAAAAGGTCAACGTGGACCACGATTACGCACCTGAATTGCAGAGAAGGAGAAGGCAGTATGCGGAAGCCAAATCGGCACTTAAGGAAAGAAACATAAGATTCCAGAGCCCATTCCCGGCCAGATTAAAAGTGTTCTATGAGGACAATCCAGTGGTCTACAACTCGGCTGAGGAGGCAACAGCAGACATGGTGAAGAGAGGGATACCAGTGACTGTCCTGCAGAACCCAAGCTCGTTAATGGACCAGATTAACTGGCTGACCTGGGAACCCAGCAGAAAGCGAGGAGATCAACTGCACCCGAGCTCCAAGTTACACTTCAAGGAACGGCTTCGAAGCTTTCGACATCGGGATACCTGATAAGTAGCACTGAGACTATTTTCTTTTTTCTTCCTTCCTCCTTGCCTTTACTATTATTATTTTCCTCTCTACCCAAAGGTTGAGATCAAACTGAATAGAACGCTTATACCACGGGCACATGTGGGCACATTTTGGGTCGGTTTGCTACCCTCTGTATTTTATGGACCTATGTATCAGCTTAAGGGCTGAAGAGGGCCCCCTTCCATCACTAAGAGGAAGAGACTTTCCCTCCACATTCCAACACTCCAAGGCACAATATGTGGCCTTAAATCTGGAAGTCAATGTCATTTATGTTTGTGGATATTATTCTGTTACATTTTTTTTGGTTATAGTTTTGTATTTTATTAATGTTATATATACAACAGGGGATGTTGGAAATGATTTAAATGTAGGAACTCATGGATTTAAAATAAAGGCAAATAATCAGCATGCAGAGTAAAGGGTCAATTAAAGTAATTACATACAATGTGAACGGTCTGGGAAACCCAATTAAAAGGAATAAAGTCATGTCAAAATTAAAAAGAGATGGAGTTGAAATAGCCCTCCTTCAGGAGACTCATCTAACAGAACAGGAACACCAAAAACTTAAAAAGTGGAACTTCAGTTCATATTCATCCTCATACAGAAAGGGATCCAGGAGGGGCGTAACAATCTTAATCTCCAGTAAATTAAACTTTGAATGCACATGTGAAAAAAAGGACAAAGATGGGAGATATGTACTGATTCGGGGAAATTTGGAGGGTACTTTAGTTACCCTCCTGAATGTATATGCCCCCCCGGGATCTGAATGGTCATTTTACAAACACATTTTTGAAATAATAACATTGGAGGCCCAAGGAATTCTAATTTGTGGGGGAGATTTCAATGTTAGACTTAACCCAACTTTAGATACATCAAAACCCCTTCCCTCAGGAGGGAAAAAAATCACCAAGAACATTACATTGATCTTGGGAGACCTAGGGCTCTCAGATATATGGCGAGACCTAAATCCGTCTACGAAAGATTTTACCTTTTACTCACACCCACACTCAGTATATTCAAGGCTCGATTATCTGTTTATGTATCAGAAAGATTTTTACAGGGTCCAAAATTGCAGTATAGGGACCATGGACTTATCAGACCATGCCCCGGTCTCCATGGCACTAAATCTAGGACTAGAAAGGAAAAGCACAATCTGGAGATTGAACACAGGAATTCTTAACCAAATTAGGCCTCAAATCAGGACCGATATAAAAGATTATCTGAACGACAATGACAATGGAGAAGTGTCCCCAATAATCTTGTGGGATGCATGTAAAGCTGTCCTAAGAGGAAAAATAATTGGCTATTCCTCAAACATAAATAAGCAAAGAAAAGAGAAAACAAATCAGCTTCAAACAGAACTAAAACATCTAGAAAATATACATAAGAAAACCCTAAATACAAAAACTAAAATGGAAATAGATTAAAAAAAGAACGAACTCCATGAAATCCTCTCTAACGACATAAAAATAAAATGATCTTTCTAAAACAAAGTTACTATGAGGTAGGAGGTAAATCAGCAAAACTATTGGCTTACAAACTAAAAAAACAACAGGTAGAAAACACAATTTACAAAATAAAAGACCCTGAAACAAGTATTATACATAGTAATCTAAAAGACATACAACAAACGTTTGTCTGTTTCTATAAAAACCTATACACACAGCCTAAAATAGATAAAACCAACATCAGGAGTTTCCTTGACTTGATCACTTTTCCTAAAGTGAGGGATGAGCAAAATCACAATTTAATTAGAGAAATTACGGGAAAAGAAATCGAAAAGGCAATCGCTGATTTAAAGCCCCAGGCCCAGATGGTTTCCCTTCTGAATGGTACAGGGAAATGATGGATCTACTGATCCCAACAATGAGGGATGCTTTTAACCACGTGCTTCAGACAGGTATAGCTCCCCCCTCATGGGGCGAAGCAGTAATCTCCCTGATACCAAAGGAAGGGAAAGACAAATGTGACTGTGGAAGTTATCGTCCAATAAGTGTGCTAAATCAAGACTATAAGATCTTTACCCACATTTTGGCAAAAAGACTCGAAGAAATCCTCCCTCGGATAATAAATCTAGATCAGACAGGATTTATCAAACAACGGCAAACTCAAGATAATATCCGCAGAACTCTACATATAGTTGAACATATATCCAAAAACAAACTCCAGGCAGTACTTTTGAGCCTTGATGCAGAAAAAGCCTTCGATCGAGTTAATTGGAAATTCCTATACCAAGTTCTTGAAAAGTTTGGCTTTCACAAGACATTTATTAATACTGTTCAAGCATTGTACGACAACCCTTATGCAAGAATAAAAATAAATGGAGCCATATCAAATTCTTTCAACCTTGAGAGAGGGACACGACAGGGATGTCCAATTAGCCCTCTGTTATTCGCAATTTATATCGAAGCTCTGAGTTTGGGGGTTACTCAAAATAACAATATTACCGGCATAAAAGTATATGGCCAGGAACATAAATTATCATTATTTGCTGATGATATATTAATATACCTGTCAAACCCAGATGAATCATTCTTGAGTTTACTGACCTTTTTGGATACTTATAGTTCTGTCTCAGGGTACAAACTCAATATAACAAAAACCCAAATACTGAGCTTTAATTACAAGCCAAGCCAACATATAAACTCGACCATTGTTCTTAATTGGGAACTGGACCACTTAAAATATCTGGGAGTAAACATCTCTAAAGATTCAGAGGACTTGTATATACTAAATTTCA